GCGGCTCCCGGAGAGTCATACGTGCTGGCCTGCACACGCGGAAGCCTTGATCTGCCGACCCGGCGGCCTGCTCCATCGATCCTGGCCTCATCTCTAAACACGGCCAGGGCCCTGCGGCGCCAGCAACGTTGACAGATCGACCCAGTCAGGCGGGAAAGGGGAACCTCTGACCTTTGGCTGCCAGCCTTCCTCCATGCGCCTCCTTCCGGGCAGGCCAAGGCCCACAGAGAACGGGAACGGCCACACCTCTGCCCGCTCCTACTTCTGGGCTGCGCTCTGACAATGTGCGCTTTCCAAGATCTTACCACCTTCAGGTCCGAAGGAGACAGAAAAAGTTTATGCATGCCTACGACAGTCCTGAGCGGCAGAGCAGAGAGCAGCTGCACAGGGAGTGGGTGTGAAAGAGGCCCCTTGGGACACAGAAGCCAAAGGGCAAGATTTGAATCCAGGCCAGCCAGCATCATCGGCGCCTTGTCCTCCACCTGTATCCAGAGCATCCTCCCTGAGATGCTCAGGATCTGGCCGTAGAGGAGGCACCTGCTCCTTTCTCACCAGCCTTCCAGCCCTGGCCACCCCCCCCCCCAAAGAAGCCTCCTTTTTCAATCCTGCCCTCCCATGCCGCCCACGGTCAGTCCCTTCATGGGGGTCAGACAAGGAAGGTTTAAAATGCCCTCCTCCAGGTGGCTGTCCTGGGAGCAACGCTATTGAAACTGCAGAGTCTGCAAGACTAGGAGCCCTTTCAGCATGGGGGTGGGGGGCACCCCAGCACCTCTTTGGGCACCGAATCATTAGCTCCTGGTGCCCCTGAGGGATCTTATATGATTGGAAAAACAAGCGCCTTCCCCCCCAGATCATCTCCCCGTGCCACCAGAACCGCCCGGGCGATGATGCTCTCGTGGGGGGTCACGCCAAAGGAGGCCAACAGAAACATCAACCAGGAGCCAGGCCTTTTCGGTGGTGGCCCCTAACCTTCAGAACAGACTCCCAGCCGAGCGGCACCTGGCCCCCTCCCTGCTGACATTTAAGAGGCTGCTGACAACGGCACTCTTTAGGGACGCCTCTTAATAGCAGCCTCGAATGGTTTATTTATTTTTATTTATTTATTTATTTT